TTAAATTGGCTTTGATCGAACTCTGTTTAATAGAAGGAATTTTAGATAAGACTTTTTTAGAGCTGAGCACCGCCATGGGTTTGTATCCATGAGTTAGGTAAATTACTCTCTTCTTGGGGTCCCAAGATAACTTGGGGCTCCTGGACCTGTTAGAAGTGACATTCTTTACTTATAGGTCAGAAACCTTGTACAAAGACTGTTGTAGACGAGGGGTGAGACCAGTTCCCTAAGTGGCTTTTACTGGCTTTACAAGTCAAGTTTGATTCCTTAAAGGAAAGCACACCATTCCAGTCAAAGCCTTGGTAAAATAACCAGTTGTTCCAAATGTGTCCTGTTGCAAAAGAAAACAGATTCTTATTGCACTTTTGCAAATAACTATACTGCCGTAAGTTAAAAATACGCACAACTAGTTTCCAAATTCTGGAGAAATTGGGTGGAGAAAAACAAATATGCTCCAAATTTTGTTCACAGGAGTATACTTTACTTAGTTGCTACAAGCTGTAAATAGCACAAAAGAAGTTTCCTCGATTCTGAAAAACAAAATAAAGAATCACCAGCATTTTTTTTTTTTTTTTTTTTTTTTGAGACGGAGTCTCGCTCTGTCGCCCAGGCTGGAGTGCAGTGGCCGGATCTCAGCTCACTGCAAGCTCCGCCTCCCGGGTTCACGCCATTCTCCTGCCTCAGCCTCCCGAGTAGCTGGGACTATAGGCGCCCGCCACCTCGCCCGGCTAGTTTTTTGTATTTTTTAGTAGAGACGGGGTTTCACCGTGTTAGCCAGGATGGTCTCGATCTCCTGACCTCGTGATCCGCCCGTCTCGGCCTCCCAAAGTGCTGGGATTACAGGCGTGAGCCACCGCGCCCGGCCAAGAATCACCAGCATTTTAAGCAAAAAGTTAAAAAGATTACTTTAGATTTCTATTAGTTTAGTCCATTCAGTTAACATTTGTTTGATATTCATGAACATTTCAGTTCTCCTCGAGAGTTCTGAAAGTTTTTTCCACTATTCTAATGTCACAATTTCCAAAGTTATCAGAAACCTGCATTTAAGAACACCTGTTGGCTGGGTGCGGTGGCTCACGCCTATAATCCCAGTAGTCTGGGAGGCTGAGGCGGGTGGATCACCTGAGGTCAGGAGTTCAAGACCAGGTTCGCCAACATGGCGAAACCCTGTCTCTACTAAAAATACAAAAATTAGCCAGGCATGGTGGCGTGTGCCTGTAATCCCAGCTACTCGGGAGGCTGAGGCAGGAGAATGGCTTGAACTCAGGAGGCGGATATTGCAATGACCCAAGATCATGCCATTGTACTCCAGCCTCAGTGACAGAGCAAGACTCCATCTGAAAAAATTTAAAAAAATTAAAAAAAAAAAAAAAAACACCTGTTAAAGTTCTACAGTTGATTATAAAACCACCTTTTTTTCCTTTCTTTTTTTTTTTTTTTGAGATGGGGTTTCACTCTTGTTGCCTAGGCTGGAGTGTAATGGTGCAGTCTCGGCTCACTGCAACCTCCGCCTCCTGGGCACAAGCAATTCTCCTGCCTCAGCCTCCCGAGTAACAGGGATTACAGGCATTTGCCACCATGCCCGGCTAATTTTTTGTATGTTTAGTAGAGATGGGGTTTCACCGTGTCAGCCAGGCTGGTCTCAAACTCCTGACCTCAGGTGATCCATCAGCCTCGGCCTCCCAAAGTGCTGGGGTTAAACGTGTGAGCTACCATGCCCAGCCTAAAACCACCTTTTTTGTTGTTGTTTTTCCAAGATGGAATCTTGCTCTGTCGCCCAGGTAGGAGTGCAGTGGCGTCACCTTGGCTCACTGCAACTTCCACTTCTTTTTTTTTTTTTTTTTTTGAGATGGAGTTTCGCTCTGTCGCCCAGGCTGGAGTGCAGTGGCCGGATCTCAGCTCACTGCAAGCTCCGCCTCCTGGGTTCACGCCATTCTCCTGCCTCAGCCTCCCGAGTAGCTGGGACTACAGGCGCCCGCCACCTCGCCCGGCTAACTTTTTGTATTTTTTAGTAGAGACGGGGTTTCACCGTGTTAGCCAGCATGGTCTCGATCTCCTGACCTCGTGATCCGCCCATCTCGGCCTCCCAAAGTGCTGGGATTACAGGCTTGAGCCACCGTGCCCGGCAACTTCCACTTCTTGGGCCCAAGCAATTTTCCTGCCTCAGCCTCCTGAGTAACTGGGATTACAGGCACATGCCACCATACCTAGCTAATTTCTGTATTTTTAGTAGAGACAGGGTTTCACCATGTTGGCCAGGCTGGTCTTGAACTCCTGACCTCAAGTGATCCGGCCACCTCGGCTTCCCAAAGGGCTGGGATTACAGGTGTGAGCCATCAGCCCAGTCAAAACCACCTTTTCAAGAAGATTCAAACAAGACAATTGTTTGTGGATGACAAAACGTCTTAGGACAGCCACTATTAAAAACACAATTGGGTCGGGTGCAGTGGCTCACGCCTGTAATCCCAGCACTTTGGGAGGCCGAGGCAGGCGGATCACAAGGTCAGGAGTTTGAGACCAGCCTGACCAACATGGTGAAACCCCATTTCTACTAAAAATACAAAAATTAGCCAGGCGTGGTGGCACATGCCTGTAATCCTAGCAACTCGGGAGGCTAGGGCAGGAGAATCGCTTGAATCCGGGAGATGGAGGTTGCAGTGAGCTGAGATCTTGCCACTGCACTCCAGCCTGGGCAACAGGGCGAGACTCCATCTCAAAAACAACAACAACGGCCGGGCGCGGTGGCTCACGCCTGTAATCCCAGCACTTTGGGAGGCCGAGGCGGGCGGATCACAAGGTCAGGAGATCGAGACCACGGTGAAACCCCGTCTCTACTAAAAATACAAAAAAATTAGCCGGGCGTGGTGGCGGGCACCTGTAGTCCCAGCTACTCAGGAGGCTGAGGCAGGAGAATGGCGTAAACCCAGGAGGCGGAGCTTGCAGTGAGCCGAGATCGCGCCACTGCACTCCAGCCTGGGCGACAGAGCGAGACTCCGTCTCAAAAAACAAAAACAAAAAAAAATAATAAAAATTAAAAAACAACAACAACAACAACAACAACAAACCACAATTGACAAGCAGGGCGTAGTGGCTCACGCCTGTAGTCCCAGCACTTTGGGAGGCCAAGTTGGGTGGATCACGAGGTCAGGAGATCGAGAACATCCAGGCTAACATGGTGAAACCCCGTCTCTACTAAAAATACAAAAATTAGTTGGGTGTGGTGGCGCACCTGTAGTCCCAGCTACTCGGGAGGCTGAGGCAGGAGAATCGCTTGAACCCGGGAGGTGGAGATTGCAGTGAGCCAAGATCACGCCACTGCACTCTAGCTAGGCGATAGAGCGAGAATCCATCTCAAAAAAAAAGAAAAGGAAAAAAAAAGAAATTTCTTTACCTCTGTGGCATACAATGATTTTATGTAACAATTATAATTATTAATAACAAACACTAAGCCATATCAGAATTATAGGAGTTTTCCATAATTTGGGACCACATACCAATAACATATTTATACAAATACAGCCCAAAGAAAACCAAACACCATTTTTTATTTGACAATGCTTTTGTATGATTTTTTTTTTTTTGAGACAGAGTTTCGCTCTTGTTGCCCAGGCTGGAGTGAAATGGTATGATCTCAGCTCACCGCAACCTCTGCCTCCTGGGTTCAAGCAATTCTCCTGCCTCAGCCTCCCGAGTATCTGGGATTACAGACATGCGGCACCACGCCCGGTTCATTTTTGTATTTTTAGTAGAGACGGGGTTTCTCCATGTTGGTCAGGCTGGTCTCAAACTCCCGACTTTAGATGATCTGCCTGCCTCGGCCTCCCAAAATGTTTGGATTACAGGCGTGAGTAACTGCGCCCGGCCTTGTATGACTTTTATACCAAATAAGCCAAATGTCACTGTTGCATTAATGCATTATTGATGTCAAACCCAATTTATCTTTCTTTTTTTTTTTTTTTTTTTTTTTTGAGATGGTGTCTTGCTCTGTCACCAGGCTGGAGTGCGATGGCGCAATCTCAGCTCACTGCAACCTCTGCCTCCCGCGTTCAAGCGATTCTCCTGCCTCACCCTCCCGAGTAGCTGGGATTACAGGTGCCTGCCACCATACCCGGCTAATTTTTGTATTTTTAGTAGAAATGGGGTTTCACCATATTGGCCATGCTCGTCTTGAACTCCTGACCTCATGATCTGCCCGCCTTGGCCTCCCTAAGTGCTGGAATTACAGGCCGTGAGCCACCACACCCGGCAAACCCAATTCTTAATAAAACCTTATAACAAATGTATTTTAATCTTAATCAGTTTGACCATAAGGTAAGATTTTCATAAACCTTTTATAACCCTTTACAAATTTTTGTTAAAGAGCAGATCATCATGGCTGGGCCCAGTGGCTCATGCTTGTAATCCCAGCACTTTGGGAGGCTGAGTCGGGTAGATCACCTGAGGTCAACATGGAGAAACCCCATCTCTACTAAAAATACAAAAATTAGCTGGGCGTGTGGAATGTGCCTGTAGTCCCAGCTACTTGGGAGGCTGAGGCAGGAGAATCGCTTGAACCCGGGAGGCAGAGGTTGCAGTGAGCTGAGATTGTGCCATTGCCCTCCAGCCTGGGCGACAAAAACCTTGGTAAGTTTGGGATTTTAATTATGTACTAGGTGTGGAGCCTAGGACATCAGACAGAAGTGCAGATAAGGGCTGACTCTTTCCAGCATAGCTAGGGGACATGGCTAACTCCACATGTCCCCAGGCCTTATCTAGAATCTAATGCTCCAAAGTAGGTAAATTGAACAATTTTCAAAGTCAAAGAAGCAGTTTATGACCTTAAAGCATTTAGCAAACCTAATATTTGACCTGCCTAATTTAGAACAAATGATTACAATTTTGAAGACATTTTTATTTTACCAATAATCTTTACAGCTGTTTTTATATCCCAAAGATTACTAATGTCACACGAACTAAATAAAAGGCATTACACTTTTTACTTTTCTGATAAGATATTTGATTTAAGCACCTATTATTATTAAACCAGTTAATCAAAGCTCTTTCATATATAAACATCACAGACATAATACATATAAATACATAGAAGATAAAGGACTCATTTTCCAAGCCAGAAATTGCACCAGAATTTGAACCAGAAATTGAATCCAGCCACCACTGTGAAAAGAGAAAGCGAGTTGCCACCGCCAACTCGTGCACCTTGTTCTTCTGCCGCTCCACCGTCCTACTCCTCCGCCGGTCGCAATGGAAGAGATCGCCATGCTCCTCATTGACAATGGCTCCAGCATGTGCAAAGTTGGCTTTGCTGGGGACGACGCCCCCCGAACCGTGTTTCCCTCCATCGTCGGATGCCCCCGACACCAGGGCGTGATGGTGGACATGGGCCAGAAGGACTCCTATGTGGGCAACGAGGCCCAGAGCACGGGCAGCATCCTGACCCTGAAGTACCCTATTGAGCATGGCATCGTCACCAACTGGGACGACATGGAGATCTGGCACCACACCTTCTACAACGAGCTGCCCGTGGCCCCAGAGGAGCACCCGGTGCTGCTGACCGAGGCCCCCCTGAACCCCAAGACCAACAGAGAGAAGATGACTCAGATTATGTTTGAGACCTTCAACACCCCAGCCATGCACGTGGCCATCCAGGCAGTTCTGTCCCTCTACACCTCTGGGCGCACCACTGGCATTGTCATGGACTCTGGAGACGGGGTCACCCACACGGTGACCATCTACGAGAGCTACGCCCTCCCCCATGCCATCCTGCGTCTGGACCTGGCTGGCCGGGACCTGACCGTCTACCTCATGAAGATCCTCACCGAGCATGGCTACAGCTTCACCATGGGAAATTGTGCACGACATCAAGGAGAAGCTGTGCTACGTTGTCCTGGACTTTGAGCAGGAGATGGCCACCACCGCATCTTCCTCTTTTCTGGAGAAGAGCTACAAGCTGCCCGATGGCCAGGTTATCACCATCGGCAATGAGCAGTTCCGGTGTCCGGAGGCACTGTTCCAGTCTTCCTTCCTGGGCATGGAACCTTGTGGCATCCATGAGATGCTTCAACTCCATCATGAAGTGTGATGTGGACATCCGCAAAGACCTGTACGCCAACACGGTGCTGTCCAGAGGCACCAACATGTACCCAGGCATCGCCGACAGGATGCAGAAGGAGATCACCACCCTGGCACCGAGCACCATGAAGATCAAGATCATTGCACCCCCAGAGCGCAAGTACTCGGTGTGGATCGGCAGCTCCAACCTGGCCTCACTATCCACCTTCCAGCAGATGTGGATAAGCAAGCAGAAGTAGGACAAGTTGGGCCCCTACATCGTCCACTGCAAATGCTTCTAAATGGACCGAGCAGATGCATAGCATTTGCTGCACGGGTTAATTCAGATGTATAAACTTGCCCTTGGCAAATGCATACACCTCATGCTAGTCTCACGAAACTGGAATAAGCCTTCGAAAAGAAATTGTCCTTGAAGCTTGTATCTGATATCAGCACTGGATTGTAGAACTTGTTCCTGATTTTGACCTTGTATTCAAGTTAACTGTTCCCCTTGGTATTTGTTTAATACCCTGTACATATCTTTGAGTTGAACCTTTAGTACATGTGGCTTGGTCACTTTGTGGCTGAGGTAAGAACGTGCTTGTGGAAGACAAGTCTGTGGCTTGGTGAGTCTGCGTGGCCAGCAGTCTCCAATCTGTGCAGGGTATTAATGTGTCAGGGCTTGAGTGTTCTGGGATTTCTCTAGAGGCTGGCAAGGGCTCCTGAACCAGTTGTTTCTGTCCTGCGGGTCTGTCAGGGTTGGAAAGTCCAAGCCATAGGACCCAGTTTTCTTAGCTGATGTTTTCTGCCAGAACACCATGGGCTGTTACTTGCCTTGAGTTGGAAGCAGTTTGCATTTACACCTGTAAATGTATTCATCCTTGTAATTTATGCAAGATTTTTTTTGTATGCAATTCTCGATTCTTTAAAGAGATGACAACAAATTTTGGTTTTCTACTGTTATGTGAGAACATCAGACCCCAGGAACACGTCATTGTGTAAGGAAAAATAAAAGTGCTGCTATAACCGAAAAAAAAAGAAAAGAAAAGAGAAAGCATGGCCCATGGTTACAAGGTCAAGCTCCCCAAGCACATAACTGACTAGTTTGCTGGGCTGTCTTGAAAAGCGAGCTCACAGGTATCCTAAGCCCATGTTCTATCCTAAGGTACTCCTCTCCATGATAGAACAATATAGAAAGACACACAGAGCACATCAGATTCGCTACAGTTTAAGACTAGCCTCAGGCCCGGCATGGTGGCTCAAGCCTGTAATCCCAACACTTTGGGAGGCCCATGCAGGCAGATCACCTGAGGTCAGGAGTTCAAGACCAGCCTGACCAACATGGAGAAACCCCGTCTGTATTAAAAAAGTACAAAATTAGCCAGACGTGGTGCCTGTAGTCCCAGCTACTCAGGAGGCTGAGGCAGGAGAATCGCTTGAACCCGGGAGGCGGAGGTTGCGGTGAGTCGAGATCACGCCATTGCACTGCTCATTTCACTCTGGGCAACAACAGCAAAACTCTGTCTAAAGACTAGCCTCACAAATCCTTTTTTCCAGTAATCCAAACTTTACATGAAACAGTGATTTTTACCATTCATTCAACTGATTTGCATAGAGAAAGAAAGGAAAGCATTGCCTGAGGCAGGGTGGGGAAGGCAGGTGCTCAGGGAGGCCAGAGAAAGATCCACCCATTGCAGCGACACTGAAAAGTTCAGGCGGCCACTTGTCAGTAGCAAAGGGATCTTTTCCAGAAGTCCCATCAGCTCTCAAGTTTCCCTTTTAGGGAGGAAAATGCTCCCTGTATCCCACAATCCTGTACATGCCTGTCACCCACAGCCATCAGCAAAGAGTGCAAGGCAGATCAATCCAAAGAGAAGAGCAGTTTACATCCTGTAGTGCTAAACCTGTTCTTAGCTGAAAGGGACTTTACTGAGAGGAGCCTCCAACTCCCTAAATCTTAAAGGGACTCTAACCCTTCTAAGTTGGGCCTCTAACCCAAGGTCAGTCAAGCATTCTTGCCTTTTATTTTTATTTATTTATTATTTATTTTTGAGACGGAGTCTCGTTTTGTTGCCCAGGTTGGAGTGCAGTGGCATGATCTTAGCTCACTGCAACCTCCGCCTCCTGGGTTCAAGTGATTCTCTTGCCTCAGCCTCCTGAGTAGCTGGGATTACAGCCTCACGCCACCACACCTGGTTACTTGTATTTTTAGTAGACATGGGGTTTCGCCCATGTTGATCAGGCTGGGTCTTGAACTCCTGAACTCAGGTGATCCACCCACCTCAGCCTCCTAAAGTGCTGGGATTATAGCCATGAGCCACCGCACCCAGCCTCCTGCCTTTTATTAAGAGAGGGGCCTCTAACCCACTCTGACTTAGGAGAGACTCTAAATCCCCTAAATTGGGCTTTTAACCCAATCCCATTCTTTACCCGGGTATAGGCATCCTACTTACCCAAAGTCTGCCAATTAGTCCTGCGGTCTATTTCCTTTGGGACAGGGGGTTTCTTCAATATTGTCCCTTCAGTGTTCACCAGAAAGATGTTACCAGACCCCATCACTTACGCAGTTAGCCTTTGTGTCGGGGGTTTCCACACTATAGTCCCTCCATCGTTGCCAGAAAGATGTTACAGGAAAGGGGTCCTGATTCGGATCCCAAAAGAGGGTTCTTGGATATCGCACAAGAAAGAATTCAGGGTAAGTCCACAGAGCAAAGCAAAAGCAAGTTCATTAGGAAAGTAAAGGAATAAAAGAAAGCCTGCTGCTCCATCGACAGAGCGGCCCTGAGGGCCGCTGGTTGCCCATTGTTATGGTTCTTTCTTGATGATATACTAAGCAAGGGGTGGATTATTTATGCCTCCCCTTTTTAGACCATATAGGGTAACTTCCTGACAGTGCCATGGCATTTGTAAACTGTCATGGAGCTGGTGGGAGTGTAGCAGTGATAGCCATCTTGGTTTTGGTGGGATTTAGCCGGCTTCTTTACTGCAACCTGTTTCATCAACAAGGTTTTTTTTTTTGTTTTTTGTTTTTTGAGACAGAGTTTCACTCTCGTTGCCCAGGCTGGAGTACAATGGCGCCATCTCAGTTCACTGCAACCTCTGCCTCCAGGTTCAAGCGATTCTCCTGCGTCAGCCTCCCAAGTAGCTGGGATTACAGGCGCGTGCCACCACGCCCAGCTAATTTTGTATTTTTAGTAGAGATGTGGTTTCTCCGTGTTGGTCAGGCTGGCCTCAAACTCCTGACCTCAGGTGATCTGCCTCATGGGCCTCCCAAAGTGCTGGGATTACAGATGTGAGCCACCGCACCCGGCCCCAGCAAGGTCTTTATGACCCGTATCTTGTGTCAACCTCTTATTTCATTCTGTAACTTAGAATGCCTTAACCATCTGGGAATGCAGCTCAGTAGGTCTTGGCCTTATTTTACCTAGCTCCAATTTAAGATGGAGTTGCTTTGGTTTAAATGCCTCTGACAGTCCCAGCAACTAGGGACTGAGATACGAGGATCAATTGAGCCCAGGAAGTTGAGGCTACCAAAGTGCTAGGATTACAGGCATGAACCACCACACCTGGCTCAATCAAAACTTATGTTTTTTGTTGTTGTTGTTGTTTGTTTGTTTGTTTGTTTTTGCCAGGCACAGGGGCTCACGCCTGTGATCCCAGCACTTTGAGAGGCCAAGGTGGGCAGATCACCTGAGGTCGGGAGTTTGAGACCAGCCTGACCAACATGGAGAAACCCCGTCTCTACTAAAAATACAAAATTAGCCGGGCATGGTGGTGCATGCCTGTAATCCCAGCTACTTGGGTGGCTGACACAGGGGAATCGCTTGAACCAAGTAGCTGGGATTACAGGCATGTGCCACCATGCCCGGCTAACTTTGTATTTTTAGTAGAGACGGGGTTTCTCCACGTTGGTCAGACTGGTCTCAAACTCTCGACCTCAGGTGATCTGCCCACCTTGGCCTCCCAAACTGCTGGGATCACAGGTGTGAGCCACTGCGCCCAGACTGTTTGGATTTTTTTCATAAGAAGACTATATCCTTTAATAACAGTTATAATAATTTTAAAGAAGGAGGCGGAGAACAAGAAAGAGGAATAGAGTGGAGAGGAGGGGAAGGATGAGGGAAGAAGGAAGAAGAGGAGGACAAGCAGAAGCAGCAAATTCAGGGTAATAAAATCCAGGACTCGGCCGGGCGCGGTGGCTCAAGCCTGTAATCCCAGCACTTTGGGAGGCCAAGACGGGTGGATCACGAGGTCAGGAGATCGAGACCATCCTGGCTAACACGGTGAAACCCCGTCTCTACTAAAAATACAAAACATTAGCCGGGCGAGGTGGCGGGCGCCTGTAGTTCCAGCTACTCGGGAGGCTGAGGCAGGAGAATGGCGTGAACCCGGGAGGCGGAGCTTGCAGTGAGCTGAGATCCGGCCATTGCACTCCAGCCTGGGTGGCAGAGCCAGACTCTGTCTCAAAAAAAAAAAAAAAAAAAATCCAGGACTCGCCTGTGGGGAGGGGCAGTGAGGGGCCTGGAGGGGCAAGATTCCCTGAAAGGCCAGGTACTGCCTGTGGAAGGGTGATGGGGCAGAGATAAGTGGCTTGCACAGTTGGCAAAGCTGGGGCCACCAGAGTTGAGGGTTCCCTGTGGTTCCTGAGAGAAGCCCCATCCCACTTTACTATGAGTCTTTCTTCCTTTCCTATTATGAAAAGAAATATACAAGAAGCCTAGTGAAAAACCCAAATACTAAGAAAGGGTACACAGTGAAAAATGAGTCTAAGCCCAGACCCACTCCCCAGAGACAGCGACCAGCAAGCTGGCTCTATGTGTGTTTCCAAAATGTCCCAAGGTCTTTTGATTCTTAGGCCTTGGGCCACGTGTACTACGGTGGCCACAGAGGCGATTCGGAAGGAGTCACCGCCCTGGGGAGCTCACCATTTGGCTAGATGATCAAGAAGACAATGTTTCTATTAGACAGGGAGGGCTGCTGTGTGAGAGACCGTGGAAGGCAGTACTGCTGCCCCCAGGGCCAGGTAGGACATTGTGTGGGTGAAAGCACAGCAGGTGGGGACGGTGTGAGCCAAGGTATGATGGTGAGAAGATCACCACAGATTCCATGAGCAGCAACTAATTCAGTGTAGAGTGCAGCACGTGCATGGGTGGGAGCGAGCTGGCCAGCCTGGAGACCTGGAGGCCATGCCACCGCCACGAGGGTGTTGAGCTTTCACGGACATTCAGCAGCCGCTAGCCCTGGCCAAGTCAGAGTCAACCTCTTGATTTTTCTTTTCTTCTTTTTTTTTAGACAGGGCTTTGCTCTGTTGCCAGGCTGGAGTGCAGTGGTGTGATCACAGCTCACTGCAGCCTCTAACTCCTGGGCTCAAGCAATCTCCTGCCTCAGTCTCTCTAGGGTGTGAGACCGCAGGTGCACTCCACCACACCCAGCTATTTTTATTTTTATTTTTTTCATAGAGAGGGAGTCTCACTATTGCCCAGACTGGTCTTGAATTCTGGGGCTCAAGTGATTTGCCTGCCTCGGCCTCCCAAAGTGCTGAGATTACAGGTGTTAAAGCCACTGTGCCCAGCCTTGATTTCTAATACATCCATGAAAGCTGAATCTCAATCTCTTGACCAGAGGAGCTATGGAAGAGAAAATGGGAAAGAGGTTAAAGATGAAGAGGGTTGTGGTGGGGGTTGTGGTGCTGAAGGATGAGGTGCAGGGGGACAGTTTCCACCCCAGAGAGACAGGGCAGCCAGAGCATAGACTCAGCTGAAAGAGACCTGACCCACTAGGATCTCCCTCTGGGGCGCTGGACAACCCCCTCTACCTCAGTTTCCTCCTCCACCAAATGGGAACAGTGGTGACCCCTGCCTTGAACTCACAGGAGTGCCCTGAGCAGGGATGAGGGAGACTGTAGAGGAACCCCACGCACACATCATGTCCTGGCACAGGTGGCCAGAGTCCATGTGCAGCATGTCCATGAACAGGACATGGGTACCCTCTTACGGTGTTGTTACCATGACAACCCCCAAGGACTTAG